CTCCATTTTATACTATGAGGACTCAATTAGGAGCTGTGCCCAGCTCCTCATGCTAGACATAGTATTAGTGAGCTAAAGGCAGAAAATTGTTTCACTTTCCCAGTTCTCTGCCCAACTGGGAGCCAAAATTGTGTATTGTTTCACCTCATGCCTTTCAGCCCCTACCTGTCCATACCTATATCCCCTGAGACCTATAAAGCCACTGCAGCGGACCCTGAGAATCTGACTGCAAGTGCTTGCAGTAGTCCTTTTCTCATCACATAGCTACAGTAGTGACCCAAATTCCTGTATAAAACATCTGAAGCCTTTATTTTTATACAACATTTTATGGAGTTAGCATGCAGAATTTTTGTAATGTCATGATACAATTTTGATTGTTCTCACAAGAAAGTTTATTTTACCTGAACTATCCATTATGTATTTAATATTCTTATACTGGAATCCATCATACAATTATTTACTCATTTTAGTGTTATGGACTAATTCAGTTTTATCTAATTCAGTCTCTCAAATGGTGAATGGGTTTCTGCCATAAATTTGCAAAGTGAATGAAGATTTACTGGGGTTAAACTTTAATGGCTAGGAGTCGCAACACTAAAATTACCTACTTTGAAAACTTATGGGTGAACATTTAGTAGTTTGTAATAATAGAAACCCATTTGCTTCATTTCAGCCATCTGCACAAAAATAAACATCACACATTATTTTATTAAGTTCACTAATATTTGTGCTGGTTTTCAGTTGAGCATTACTGAAAGGCATAAAGTCAGATACTTTTAAGGGTAACCAGTTTCAATGACATTACTTCATCAATATTATAAATACAGATGCCAATTCAGCATTTTGTACAATCATAAATTTAACAGTTTGCTTCAAATTCTGAAGGGCTTTTGTTCAAACTTCTGATACACACAAAAGGGGTGTGAGAGAGAAATATTGGGGTGATAAATTGCAGAGAGGAGTGATAAATAAATGTAATCTGTACTTTGGATCTAGTCCTGCTTTTTGCTTTAGTCTACTCTTCTCTCAGGGGGAATAATGCCTACTAACTTCTGAGATGTGTGGACAATAACAACTATGTATGTGGCAACTGTAATCTTTGTTTCCTGTTCATTATTCTCTCTGACGAAGTGATGGCGACCAGGGAATACAAGACTGAATAGATCAAGGGGAAAGCCAATACTTGAACGTTTTGGAAGCCAGTGCTATGAGTGACAGAAAGGACTATTCTTTGGGGCATCGTACTGCTGAGATGACAACATTCCAAGTTAACCATCTTAGATTATTGTTTTTAAAGTATTCCATAGAGTTTACACGTCTTTTCTTAGGTTGACAGCTATAGCTGAATCACAAGGAAATAGGGTCTTCCAGGTTTCTTTTCCTTCAAATGTAGCATCTGAAACCACTCACACAATGTTTCCAGTTTATAATCCTTCAACAAAAAGTGTTCTCCTGCAATTAAAAACATTAAAAAAAGAAAGAAACCTGGTACAGCTCTGGCTTTCAGCTTTGTTTTCTGACATGGTCTATTTCTTCCACATTTCAGTTTAAAGTATCCTATGTACAGTTGTTTTCAGACTTTTGGCCATCTTCTTTGGTCCTTTTGTCTTTCCTGGTAGCAAATAACAGGAAACATGTGAGTTATTCTGAGAGTTAGGCTCCTCTGGGAATGGCTGAAGTGCATAATTTTTCTTTCTCTGTGAATTGAGTCTCACTGGAACTGAACAGAGGGCAGGATTGTGTTTTACATTTAATTCCACCAGCCTTCACAATGCCACATCTCTGACAATCTTTTTATCTTTTTTGTTTCTCTGATCTCAACATTCCTTGTCCCTGCATTTGACTAATATTATCTGGTCCTGCCTGGTGTTGGCAGAAAATTTAACTTTATGCTGGAAAGCTTGTCTAGCATCTCTCCCAACAATTCAATCAGTCCAGAAAAAGTTACTACCAAAATACCCTATTGATAACAACAGTTGTCAAACACCATATTGTCTTGCAGTGTAGATATGGCTTTGTTTTGCATAAACCTAAACACTCCCCCACCTACCTGGATACTGTAGTTCCTTTAAATATGTGTAGATAGTTATTAACTACCCAGGCTAAAGACAGCAGACCAGTTTACTAAGGGGCTGATTGTCCTGAGTTGTCACTCACACCAAAAGACAGGGGGCTTGAATAGCAACTAACTTGAATTAGTCTCCATTATCCTGGGACAAAATGTTAATTCAGGTACTGTGCCGGGACACAGGGTGGGATGGTAAGCTTGTACTGCTCTAGGATCCCAGGATAAAAGTTCCTATCCTGTGATAAACCAATGGTCTATTTTCAGCCCCATGAGCCCTATGGGACACAGCATGCATGTAGGGGAAAGACAGGGAAAACCTCGGATCTTAAACCTGTCTGTCACCTGTGCAGACCTCTGCAGTTGAATGGAAATGAATATACAGTCTATCTTAAATTGCGCGGGCCATCAGCGAAGGTGGACTTCCAGGATGCCCATGCCATGAGCTGGGAGGTGCTGGCTGCCTGCTGGCTCCAATGGTGCCATGACCTCAACACAGAGGCAGGTGGCTGGGAGGCCAAGCACCTCGCCCCAAGCAGACGAGAGAAGGGAAAGGAGAGGAGCCCCGGTAGGCCAGCAGACTACTCTCCCCTGCAGCTTTCTGAGTGAGGGTCTGTGGCTTGGACTCTCAGGTCACCTCAAACCCCATCCATGAGCTGTCCCAGAGCATCCTCTCGTCCGGGGCTGCCCTCCACCACCTTATGAAGTGTAGCCGGGTGAGTCCAGCCCCGAGCACAGCCCCCTTCTCCTCGGCCCGGGGCTGCCTCGGGGGCACGGAAGGAGGAGCGGGCAGGGTGCGCCGGGGGCGCCCAGAGCCGCACTCGGGCCCGCGCCTGAGTCCGGGCGGGGGCTTCTCCC